GGGCGCCTCGGCGCCTGGGCGAGGATGGGAGTCCCCGGCATCCGGAGCTGAGCCAGCCGGCGCGGCGGGGAAGGCGCGCCAAGGAAGGCGAGCCGAGGAAGGCGAGCCTCGCTGTTCCTCCGGGAGCCTAACACCGTTCCCGCGCCGCCACGATGATCCCTCCGAGCGGCGCCCGTGAGGATGGCGTGGACGGGCTGCCCAAGGAGGCGGCGAGCGCCGAGCAGCCGCCCTCTCCTGCATCCACCAGCAGCCAGGAATCCAAGGTACCGCGCACACTTGCCCCAAGAAAACACAAACTCAGTCTCCTCTCCTCTCTGTCCACCTTTGTTTCCTCCGAACTGACGCTGGCACCGGAGGCTGAGACTTGTCCCTAGTTCCACCAGGTCTTAAGGACTGTATCTGCCTTGAGACTTGGTCCGGCTCCTGATGCTGGACCACATCCCTTGCTGCCCACACAGCCGCAGGGCTTTGCGTTGGGCTTCTCCGAGCGAGCACCCGCAGTTCACGTCGCCTCGGGTTCAGGTCGCTTTCTTGGGTGGTGATGGCGTGATTGTTCTGTGGTTTGAACCTGTGTGTGTCCAAAGCGCAAGTAGATACTAGGCAGCTTCTGAAAGCTGAGGGACAAACAGCCAGGGATACTTCTCCAGAAAAGCTGGGGCCCTTGTGGACCAGCAAAGTGTTGTCTGTATCCCAAGGGCCTGAGACCCTTTGCTTAATAGCTCATCCCTAACTTCAGATAGCACTCATTACAGGGAAGAAAAAAAAAAAAGACTAGGCAAAGGGCAAGACTGCGTTTGCCGGAAAGTTGATGTTCTTCTTGTGGAAGTTAATATTCGAACTTACACTTGCATTTATGAGAGTTAAAGTTAACATACACAAAACCAAGCCCGCAGCACTTCTGTCAGTTACGCTTCCTCTGAAACTCTCCTGGGTGCCAGGCACATGTTTGGAAATCTTGGAAAAGAATCAAGTAAAATGCAGCTGCTAGCAGTGCAGTGCCAAATGGCATGTGAGCTGGGAGTGAAAACCCTAAGATGGAGTTTGTAGTTATATGGATTTTTTTTTAAGTGCAGGACTCCTGGCTCTTTATCCAGATTTCCTTTTGAGTTCCTTGGGCGTCTTTGAAATGTGGGGCAGTCCTTAAGTAGGAATGGAGGAAAGGACAATGTCAGTTAGGAGGGCAGGTCAGAGGTGGCACAGACAGCTGCCATCCTTGTCTCCCTTCTCACACATCCCTGGGAGCCGTTGACACACCAGCAGGTTCCAAATCATACCTTAGTTGCTCTCAGTTTAAGTGACGCTGCTCTCTGTGCGTACCCCAGCTTCCAGGAGTTAACCATCAAGGGATGGTAACCCAAGAGAGAGCTTTGCATTATGTTTATTTTATTTTATTTTTCTGATAAATGCCTTTCTTAAAATTCAGCTGGAAATGGGGCAAAAGCCCCAGCTTCCAGGATCATCATGAGGAGTAGTGAGATGAGCTAACATCCATCCCGGTACAGACTAAGGACGCAAATGTTTTTTACCTTTATCCTTCTTGATGTAATGAGATGCAATCTGTCTCGCACGATGATTCACTCCAAAGCAGTCTCACAACCCACACATGTGTACCACTGCCCCTCCGACCAGAAGTTTCTGGGTGTCTCATCATTGTCCATCACTGACATTCAATCACCTAAGCTATAGGAGATAGTGGCCATTTCAAAGGGGATCTGGAATACTATCAATGAATACAGCTAAACTCCAGAGTGAAACTAGCATTCGAGTTTTTGCACTGGGCCTCTTGCTCTGTAGTAGGTCTGTTCTCAGGGCTTAGCATGTGGGTAGACAGCAACATGGTGCAAACACACTGTATGGGCTCGCTATTTATAGATCTCAATGTAAATTCTTTGGCAGAGCAAGAGCTACATATGTAATACTGTAATACCCTTCATTATCCACCAATTTATCTGGCTTATGGTGTCAGATTTGTACACGTCAGTTTTTCTCCAAGTGTATTTATACCTTCCTAAATCTGCTGTCATGGCTTAGGTGTTCTCCATCAGTGGAGATGGGCTATGGGGGACGGGGGCATGAACCCCAAGAAATTGAAAGCAAAATTGTGTGCCTGAATATGAAACAAATTTTTGGCTTAGCGTTTGTGACACTGTCCAAGGGCCCGTGCTTCTCAAAAAAGGCTAAACTGCTGGTGTGGAGGATGTGTGGTGAGGGAGCAGGGTGGCATGAAAGAGGCAGAGGAAAGTTCTGTTCATTCTCCACCGGGAATGCCACATTGGAAGGCTCACTGGCGTTTACAAGGGTCTCCCGCCTTGAAGATGGCTGGCGAGGAAAATGGGGACAAGGCACTGGGAGTCAGCCCACCTCCCTCTCCTCTGAAGTGGTGTGTTTGTCAGCATACTGTGTGGGACAGGCATGGTTCTGGCCCCTCGGGGCATTAAGCTACTTTCTCACCAAAGACTTTTAAATTTAGTTTTTTTCTTTTCCTGTTATTAAATCATGATTGATTCATGTTAGTTTCAGGTGTACAACCTAGTGACTCGACCTTTTTATAGATTATTCATCATACAGAGTTATGACAACATTACTATGTTCCCCGTGCTGTACGTTACATCTTGTGACTTACCTGTTTCGTACCTGGATGTCTGTACCTCTTAGCCCCCGTCACCTCTTTCACCCCTTCCCCCGCCTCCCTCCCCTCTGGCAACCACTGGTTTGTTCTCTGTATCTGGGAGTCCCTTTCCGTTTTGTTGTATTTGTTCATCTGTTTTGGTGGTTAGATTTCACTCCAAGTTTTCAAAATATTTTTTTCTCTGATTGTAAGAGTAACAAATACTCTCTGTAGAAATTTGAGAAGTCCAGAAAAAAAATAAAGAAAAGAAAAGAAAATCACCCATCGGTCACAATCGAGAGGCAACTACCGATAATACTTTGATCACGTCTTTGTCTTTGTCTGTTTACGTCATTGAGAGAACAGCGGTGAGCGTCTGCTGAGGGATTGCTCTGTGTCGGGCACAACCTGACCCTTCACAATAATCCTTTGAGGGAAGTTGTGCTATTATTTCCCTTTTATGGGTGGGAAAGGGGAAGCTCAGATAGGTCACCCATGACTGCAGAGTTAGTTCAGTGACGTAGCAAGGACAGGGACCTGGGTGGCATAGCTCCGGAGGACAAGTTCTCAGCCCCCGTGGACCCGTCTCTCATGCCCGTGTTCCATTCTACATCCTTCTGTTGCATCTGTTATCCTGACCGAGTATTTTCTACACCACGAAAACGCATTTGCAGCTGTATTTTGTTCCTCTCATCTTAAGAAATCTTTGACGATGGATTGAGCCACACTATCATGTGAAATGATTAAAGCCCAGTTCTTGTCCATCTTCTTTGCATTTGGTCCTCCTATTCTTTCCCCGAAAGTGTATTTATGAAAGTGATTAAGTGGAATATCACAGAACCATCAGAAAATCGGCTCACAACAAACCCTCTAGTCTACAGGATCCATTAGAAGAATGATCATGATTCAATGCCCTGAGCACATAAAATGAAAGTCAGTTTTCTATGCGGATTCTTTGGAATGCCAAATCATAGAATATTAGAATTGGAAACACTAGAGATGATCTGTTCTGGGTTTTTTTTAATTATGGATAATTTTTATTGTGTAGAACTTACTTTATTATGGAAAACTTCAACACACACAAAAGGAGAGAGAGCAGTATAAAGCATCATCATGTGCCTAATCCCCTGGCTGCACCAGTTATCAACTCACGGACAATCTCGTTGCATCTGTTACCCCCACCACGGCCACCACCCCTCTCGGTACACACTGGATCATTTAGAAGCAAATTCCAGACATCTGAGCATTTCATTCACAAATATTTCAGGTTGAATCTCTAAAAGATAAGGGCTCTTTTTCTAGACATGACTACATGCCCATTATTACTACTCCATGTGTTTCAAGTCAAGGGTCGGGATGTTCTCTGGAGGTCCGCAGATACATGTGAACAGCCAGAACTTTCAAAATTGCCCACGTACACGCACGTGCGCACCGTCTGGGGAAAGGACCCATAGCTTATACCAGATCGATAAAGTGTTCAGAGTATTCGAAGGTTATTTAAATACCTCCCCCTTTTTTCTTTGTTGAGTAAATCGAGGCCCTGAGAGAGGCAGTGACTTGCCTAAGATCACACAGATAGTTGCTGCCAGGCCCCTGTGTAAGAACTGTGTCTTGGACCTTGGGTACCCCCACACAATTTCCGCAGGGTAAATTCTGGCAAGCACAAGTTGTAATGTAGTTTATGTGGTTTTGTTTTTCATAAAACTAGGTGAGTTGAAAGACTTTGAAAGCCATTAACGAACCTCACCCCTCTGTCTTTCCACACATTCTCCCAGGAAGGCCACAACCTAGTGCGTTTTCTAAGTGTTTGACAGAGACCATTCAGTACTAAGAAAAATGTCATGTTTCAGCATCTCTTATTGCAATGAATGTCTGTTCTCCTGTTGACTGCATGGAAGTCTTACTAGGGTCTCATGTGGCCTGCAGGCTTGGTGCACAGGTGCCGTCTGCCATCACTTGTATGACACAACGTCACATTTTGATGATATGAAGGGTCTGAGGTCAAATAAACAAGAGTTCACATCTCTTCCCATCAGTTGCCCCCGCTGTGTCTGTGGGCAAGCTGCCTAACCTCTCGGAGCCTAGGCTTCCCAGTCTCTAGCAGGGGGATGCTAACTCCCGACTGGCATGGCTTTTTTCTAAGGCCTGAGAATATATGAAACACCCAAAATGTTGACAGCATTTGTGAGCATGAAGCGTCGTTTACTTTCTCATCCTGCTTCAGATTAGTTGACTGTGTCACCGGCCGATTGCAAATGTCATCATTGGGAGAACTTCAGTAATCAAAGCTGACGTTCCAGTAATATAACTGAGTTTTCCTCCCTGTGGACTTTCAGTTATGCTGTTGACTGCAGTGAGATTTCCTCTTAGCTATTTTGCACGCCCAAGAAGATAGGCCATAGACTCACCAGCATGTGACTGATCTTGGAAGCGTGATACAGCCCTGGAGCTATGGACTAGGTGTCCCCCCAGTTCCTGGATGGTTCTCTCTGAACCTGGACCACCTTCTGAGCTAACAAGAAGTCCCTAACCATGAGGATGTGCCCCGCATCTCCCCAAAATATCAAAATGTGCTTCCTGATACATAAACATTTGAATATATTTTTGAATAATTTTATGGGAAGTAGAATTGCTTAGTCTGGAAGTAAACCCTTC